TCCCTTTCCTCTTCATACTGTGATTCAGGATACTAAAGTTCTGCCAAGTCTCTCCAACCATGTGTTCACACTGTCTCCTAACACAGCAGCCAGCATCCTGCTCCAAAAATCCCCCTCCTGACTGATGTCTCTGCACGACACATCTGTGTAGCTCATCCCGAGCTGCTACAGCCAGCTCAGGGTGGCACAGAGTTACGGTGCCCCATAACTCTAAGTGCACAGGGTCTCAGAGGTCTGCGCATCACTGAATGCTGCTCCAGAAGGACCTCAGAGGGTGCATGAAACTCCATATTCAGGGTTTGCTTTTGCCTGTGAACAAAACAACTGACACATTTTCCTCTTGTGTTGCCCGAGATGCCTTTGCCTACCCTGCACAGCCAGGATGACAACACACGTCCTGCGCCGGCTCTGGCCGAGCCAGGATTGCCTCCTCCTACCCAACCTGCCACAGCTGTAATTGCTCCCGTATCCAGTTCAGTCAAGACGCCCGGGTTCACTTCATGGCTTTTTTAATGGAAGTTTTTCCATAACCTAGATCATTCTGCCAGGACTGGCTCAGGGTGTGACTACATGAGTGACGGCGTGTAGACCCAGGGTGAGGGAAGGAGAGCAGCTGGGACTGATGAGGGGCAGTAACTCTGCCCCTGGACACCCACGTCTGCAGCACAGGCCTCCAGATAACAAAGATGGATGAAGAGAGCACCTGAGGTCCCTCCTAGCCATCTTCCAGTGATTGTCTTCTACTTTCTCCTGAATATTTGAGTCCTGCAACCCATAGACAAAGGTCAGGTTTTTTGGCTTCATGTAACTTAAGGGGAGACAGCAGGTTTGTTACCGAATTGCTACCAAGTCTGCATAGATTCTTCTATCCTGAATCGCAATCAAAATGAACAAAAAGAATCTTTTTTTGGTTTAAACAAAATTAAAATGTACCCTTTTCATGATTTTTTTTTTCCATGCTCTGAGTTAATCTCTCCTTGGTAACCTCCTACACGCTCCAAATCATTTCACACATTTTTAACAGATTTGTTACGCATAAAGCCACAGCGCTGGCACGACACATCCGACCCGACACCGTGACCACCCCGCTCCTGCGCGATGCCTTTCCCCAAAACCACGTCTGCCCCATCTTATTGAAAAGACAAGCTCTCCAGGCTCAGAGCTGCTTTTGTTTCAGCTACACGCAGTCCTGTTCTGTGTTTCCTACAGCAGGAAACCAGTCTCTTAACTGGTCCCTTGACATAAACACATATAACCTGTCTGTATAGACGAACATTGTACGCACACACAAAATCTGCATCTGCAGCCCCTGAACTCACAGGTTTGGCACGTCTACCTCGTCAGCATGCACTGGTCAGCAGCAACAGGTGGGATATACCCTGTGGGGACAAGAACATGCATGTTGTACACATGCGTGTGCAAGAACATACACATAGAATTAGTCGATCTTAAAAATATGCAGGTTTTTAAATTATGGGTGAAATATGGATTTGAAACTCAACAGCTAAGTGAAAGGTTTTATCTCCTACTGGCAAATATGTGTCTGATACTTCACATTTTAATGGACTACACGGGAATATTCTGCTTGTAATCAACATATATAAAACTTCCCTCCTCTCCTTATTTTTTGAAATGTCTTCCTCTCAAGGACTGGCACCTGATTAAATGCCTTCCTGAATCAGCACTCTCACCTGTTGGCAGGCAGGGTAGTCAGTAAACTGCAGGAATATCCATTTCATCTAAAACTGGAGATCTACATCTGAGCTAGTCACCCTAGGTGCTCTGTACAGTTAATGGAAAACAGGAGATCTAGGAGAACCACCTTTAGGATGAGTGCCTTTCTTTCCACCGAAGGCTGACAAGTAACTCCAATGCAGATCTGGAAGAGCAAGTCCCATCTCTGGTGCTTTGCTGTAGCCAGCATAGCAATGCCCAATCTCCTGGACATCCCGATACAACTAAGTCACAACTTGTACTTTTCAGAGAGGTCCAAACTTACTCCGTGCAGAGAGGCAGCAGGAGATGAGCCAGGCCAGATCCAAAAATTGCATGAACTTAATTAAAACAAGCATGACTCCAACATTTTTAGGATAGGTTTTATCAGCTGAGTGGGTCAGAGCTGGCTCCTTTCTGCTGTCTTAGAGAACCACATGAGGGAAGTCAACCTTTCTGCAAAGGCTTCGCCATAGGATCATTTTCACATACTTGATTTTTTTTTTTTTTAATTTATTGTCTTTGTAAATCAAGAGCAAAACATATACACTTATGTAACCAACGTTTTTCTCTTTTCAAATGCCTTTTGGTGGTCTCAGACCATGTTCACCTATTCCTACCCCTGAATTGCCCTCCCACTCCATCTCTTTCCTCTTTCATGGTTGTTGCCAGAAAAGTCACTCGATGAAGGACAGTGCCACTATGGCAAGTGTATCAAGATTTACCATTACTCCAATGATGGGGTAAAAAATTCTGAAACAAAACAGATACAGAAGCTCTTTCCATTCACATCAGGAAAAAAAAATCCACGGCAGTCTAATTCTGTCCAGCAGGCACTGACAGAAGCTGCAGACCTGATGCGAGTATGTGCAGAATCAAGACCCATATGCTTATTTAAGATAATATTTGATAGATGTATTGTTTTTTTCTCTAAATGAAACATTTCTTAAAACAGGAAAAGGGGTATATTTTTTTCTAGCATTTTACTGCTAAGATGCTCCCGTCTTCTCAATGCTCAATTAGAAGGACCACAAAACAACAGCCATGCTCACACGACAAATCCTCCTGTAGACTGCAAACACTGTACTGCTCTGGAGAGATTTTCAACTGCCATTTATGGCTACTTCAAGCGTACTTTGAGAAGATACATGTGCTATGTATCCTACTGGAAATGCAGTAAAGCACAAATCGACCAAGCGAATGGACTTTGTTGATTACTTTTGAATCATTAAGAATACCACAGCAGAACAACTATGGAAAAAAACAGCAGCATCTCTGCATGACTGAGGCACAGGGACTTTTCTGAGGATTATGATCAGATGGGTTGAAAAACTGTGTTAGAGACATTCAGACCAGCAAGATATTAATTGCAGGGAAATGTTTTGTGTCTTCTTCTGGGATATTAGAAGTCCAAAGGGGAAAACGTAAAACACCACGGACACATGGATCATTTCAGAATAGTACACAGAGAATCAAATATACCATCCAAAGACCACATGAAGCCCATTCAGCTCCTAAGAGAGCACTCAGCCAAAGGCAGCTTCCTAGCTTGGTTACAAAGCAACACAAGAGGCATTTAAGTTATCAATAAAATGTTCTCACAACAGACCATCTATTACACTGCTCTAAAGACAATAATCACATACAATGTACACTGCGACTGCCCTTTAACTATGCTTTCCTTGTCTCAAAAAACCCAGACACAATTAAAAAAAAAAACAATAAATCAAATCACAAACTGTGATCTCTACCTACTGTGTATATTTTGAGAAAGTACAAAAAGGCTTGAGAAATCACTTGCTTACTTACCACTGTCTTGAAAATCTTTACAAAGAAGCTGAAGATTAGTGTTTTGGTTTTTTTTTAAATGTATAACAGTCACCCAGCTAATAGAAAGGGACTACTCTGGAGGAGGAGTGTTTTCCTGGGGTTTTCTGCTTTGTTTTTTCCACGATGTACTTCGCCACTCAGACCCGAGTGTCCAGTGATGAAGAACAGCCTTTCTGGGCTGGTGAATCTCCCGGGCCCTCACTGTACAAGTACAAGGCAAGGCTTAGAAGCTCAAAGGAACACATTGTTGAGGGCCACTCGTTCAACCATGGCTGGCTTGTCTCTTCAAGTTTGTATGGCTTGGTGCCTCAAGACAATTCTCTCATTAGGCTCCAACAGAAAGTCGTCATTGACTCAACACAGCAATGCTCCCTGGCTCACAAGGCTGCAAATATTATCTATGCAGACTAGTCCAACATTTTTTAATACAGAACCTTCTTCAGTGCCAAGGGTTCCACATACGTCTTGAATGACAACAGTTCTGCTTTCCACTGGCCACTCAAAAACTTTGTACAGAACATTAGCCTCTATCCTTTCTTTACTTTTTATTTAGCAAACAACTTATATGGGAAAATAGATTAAAATTTTCAAGAAAAGCATTAAGCTAGTTCAGTAAAGTTCGTATCATCAGTCTTAAATAACAGAAAATCACCCTGACCAAAGAGAGAGTTATAAATTCTACCAACTAAAATAAGTCACAGAAAAGTGTCTCTGTCACCAAGAACTTCACTTTGGAGTTTAGCGACATGTAAGATAAGGATTCAAGATACAAGCAATTACAATGACTAAACGATCCTATAGAGGGGAACAAAAATGTTTCATTCAGTGCAAAAACATCTACAGAAAATCAAATCTTGGCAGGTACTGCATGCAGTCACAAATCCCCGTGCTCCTTTTAAATACCGTGCTTGTTCATTCCTGCCTGATTTGTGCTTCAATCTATAAAACTATAGCTATAGGGGGAAAGAAAGGGGGGAAAAAAAGTCACCTCTTACCCAGTTTTACTCAGCAAAAGGAGAATTCTTGCACTTTGTAGCTAGGAGAAATATGGCAGTCAATTCCGAAGCACTGAAAATACTTTTGAGGAACATATGAAGGCCATTTGTTTATTCACCTTAGTTTTCCATTCCTAATAGATGGCAATCATAAATGCTTCCAGAGATTTCTTTCACTGTGCATTACTTCATATTCAAACATTCAGGTACCTCTATACAAGAAAAATTAGCAACGCTTGCTGTCTTTGCTCTCTTCTAACTACATGAGCACTTAGGGAGTATTATATCCATGTAAAGGAGACAGAAAACTGACTGCATCTGGCTTTTCCCCCCATCTAATTTGCATGAAATCAATATTTTGCAACGCAGAGGTTGGCTACTCTGTGTTTTTCTTTCCTTGAAAGGGGTAGGTGCAGAAAAGTACTTACTGGGGAGAGCTGCAGGGAGGAGATCAAGATATTCCATCTCTTAGGACAGTTTAGAAACAAAAAGAATGTAATTTTCATGAAACACATAGCATTTACTGTCATGGAAACCGGAGTCCTACAAAAAAAAAAAAATGGCAACAGCAGAGGCTAAATTCCAGTCACTCACAGGGCTGTCCTGGAATGACCACGCTTATGGACAAGAGCATCATTCATTCTCCAGAACCAGTCCTTTGTGCCTTTGTTCATCAACAGCTTAATGCTCCCAAGCAGAAAGGAGGCTGGTTTCCCACAGACACACACACGCAACTTGTACGGCCAAAAGCAGAATTTCAGGATAGTTAAAATATTCTTCTCCATAAGATTCTCCTACCTCTGCTGCTCTTTAAGTCTCGCTACTTCACACCTTTGATAACATAAAGCACCACTCATTCTTGGATTTGGTCTTGATTTCAGCACTGTGTGCAAGGGGACCTGTGGAAACACTACACACAGACCAGGTAAGGTCTACTTCTGTCTCCATCTGCATAGCTTCTACTCCTCTACACCTGCAAAACCGTGTGGTGCGCCTCCATGTGAGAATACAACTGAGCCAGAAATGATGATGCAGAGAAACACATATGGTCAAGCCTTCACGCAGTGACAGTAAAAAGATGAACTGTTTATTTAATTTCACTGCTGTATCACCAGTTCGCATCTAGCCAAGTCTTTTGTGACCACAGGTCAATTATCTTCACCATCTGGTGGCTTGTGCAATATGGCCTGTAATTTAATAGCAGTCACAGTCCAGTGCACTGGGAAGAAAAGCGCACACCACAGAAGACATCTTTGCATTTGCTGTGAACTAGTCTTCTTATAGGCAGTCCCACACAAAGAGCCAAGGGCCAGTCCAGAACAGGAATACTTATTCCCATATATCATTAAGCGAGGGATGCAGCCGACTGCCAGGGCAGTCTTCAACCACCCTGGAGGTGCTTAGGCAGAGGGTTTTTTCATGATTTAGTGCTTCCAAGCTAGCATCATTCATTAAATTAAAAGTCCCCTAAAAGCAAAACTAAAAAACATCGCTTAAAGGAGTGCTTAAAGTTTAAAAAGTTACGCCGCTCTCTAAACCCAGCTCTTGTTGAACATGTGTTACGCATAACCGAAGCCTGACACACTTCCTGCGTTGGCAGGGAGATAGCAATGGAAAAGCTCACTGAGGCTAGTTTTAGTGATTTACAGCAAAGGATGGGGGGAAAAAAGTCACATCTTTCTTCAATATGTTTTTCTACTAACAATATACATGCTGTACATAAAACCAGTATAAGCCACTTTGCACAAAAGCTAGAATAAAGTAACACAACGGTGGCAAAGTCAGCGACCAGCATTTCGGTTAATCCAGCCCAACATCACCTGAGGGACAGGACATGCCTCACTATTAGAGGTCTACATCAGGAGAAATTACAACGAACTCTCTTCATAGCCAGAGGAGAAACACAGTAGGTTTTCAAATGAGACAAAACCACACCTTTACTGGAGCAAGCTAAAGCTGGGGTCCACTCTGAGAAATTGGTTGTTGTCCCTCAAATAACGTTCACAACATCCTGCAGCAAGGACTTCTCTAGCTCAGCTACATGACATTCTCACCTAGCGTGGGCTTTTCCTTAAAGCCGAGATAAACCAGATCATAAATGACCTATTCATTTCCATCAACTACAAAGGAATTGTGGTTGGCTAGTCTGAACGCAGACTTGCTCAAATAGATTCCATCCAGGAAATCTACAGAAGACAGTAATGGCATCCATTTATTGTTTGTGAAGGAGAAAACGACTTCATATACCTTTTTTCATGCATCAGTTTTGTATCTTACAAGATAAACCACATGGGCTTGTCTACAGTAGTCTCCAGTCATACACACAACAGATAACAAGTTAAGGTTATGCAAACAACTGTGTTTCTCCTCTTCTCTAGCTTTAAAGTCCTGGACATGCCACAATAATGCTCTTGCATCTCATATATAAACCCACTGCAAATCCACTAATTCCTCATATATTAAAGAAGAAAATTATTATGGAGGGAGCAAACCATCATGGAGGATGGGACATGTGCTTGTACAATATTTTGCTGGACCTCAGAGGGACATCAGGAATTGTGGCTCTTGCTGTTGCCCTCAATTTAGTGGACACAAACTGCAACACCAAGAACAAAGATTTGAACCACTTTTTCTGAAGGCTGTACAACTAAGCAGGTGACATATGGGTCTGCTGTACTGGTTTCCTCTGTCCACAGAATGGACTAGAACCAAGAAGAATCATAAGCAAGCCAACATATGAGCTTCCACCCTCTGGTTCAGGCTTTCACTGTATACAGTCCAACACAAAGGACCTTAACACATTTTCAGGCAAAGGTACTGTTCTTAAGGGAAGTGGCAGCAGGATCCGCTGGCCATATCCACTGCTTCCCAACTGCAGATGGAAGGGATCCAACCCTTTCATGAGAGTTATTCCAAAGCTTTGAACACGGTAAACTTCAGGCATTATCCTATAAATCAACAGCTAACTCAAAATGAAAGTCGCCACTGAGAAAAGCAGAGCATTAGCAAGAAGACTTAAGAGAAGTACTATCAACTGCACAGACGTATCTGCCCACAGGCACAGGAGAAAATATCACCTATAGGACTTAGGAGCAAGAACCTCACTGTACTTTAATAACCACCAAGTTCCCAGATTTGTAAGAAATATTTATGCACCTCTATCCCTCTGGCAATGTTGGCTCTCAGGTGCTTTTAGAATCTCATCGCAGATTACAAAGTGTCAATGAATTTCCAGTGAATTTTCACTTCCAACTACTTCTACTCAATTCTGTTCTTGCCTAATCTACAACTTATGTTAAAACATATGGTAGTGTATTTGCTAAAACTTCCCTCAAAAAGTGCATTCCCTAAATCAATTCTAAACAAGTTCAGATTTGAGATCAGGAAGGGGTGGAGGGGAGAACCTAATAGTGCTTTGTTGTTTTTCTGCTGGGGTTTGGCCTTTTTTTTCCTTCTTTTTTTTTTTTTCCCTATGAAGCTGAATGAAGCAGCCAATAGTTTAATTTAGAGTTAGTTTATGAAGTGAAAATTCTATAAATTGTAGTGGAAAGGCTATTTAAACTTAATTCCAGATACTGAAATGCTCAATATACATTAAAAAAAAAGGGAAAACCTTCATAAAGGTTATTATTAAATACTTTGGAGAAAGATTTAGGAAAAATACTGTGCATGCATTCAGCAGGCATCCCCAGTCGTTGTCTCATTTACCTCATTACACACACGCGTGCACACACACGGGGTGTTAATTGCACTCCAAAAGAAAACGGCAGGCACAGACTGAAGAAATTATGTGGGTCCTTCCCCTGGTTCCCTCCTCCCGATGCACGCCTACTATTCTTCTAAATATTCCCCACTGAAAAAGAGAGTGCTAATTGTAGCTATCACAAAGTGTTTTTCCATCGTCACAGAAATTTAATTCCCAAATTTGAGTCAATGCACATGCAGAGACACAGATCGAGTAGAGGTAGGAGTGATGATGGATCCATGAAGCAATTCATCCTAGCAAGGAAAATTTAAATACACATCAAAAGCATAATCCCGTAATTGGCAGATCCACTTCAAGACCTTGAAAAGCTTATTTTCGGCCTCTTAAACCTAACTGATCCAACACCTTCTGTGAGAACACGGCATAGCCCAGGCACTTGTCTCCCGTACCAGAGTTACCACAAAATGCATTAGTTCCCACTTCAGGGCTTATTCTCTTACATTTTTCCAGGAACAATGTGGGACTTCTTTTTGTCCTCAGGAGTAATGAAGTGCTTAGCTCAAATCTCAGTACCTATTAAGATCTGGGAGTTTGTGCTGTCTTGTGCCAATCAAAGCTGCACAAGATGCTCAAGAGCGTAAGGAAAGGCCTAGAACAGAGAACACGCTATGCCACTGTATCAGTTAATGGTACAACCTCATCTGCAACATCAAAGGCAAGGCCACATCTCAGAAAGATCAAAGAAAACAGCAAGAACAATCAGGACTTTGAAAAATCTCTCACAGAACTGACAAAAAAACGCAACTTGCAGAACAGCCACATGACAGAGATGTTAATTTAGAGAAAATTGGACAAAGAATGATAAGTCCAAAGAGAGGACGTCTGTTGTCCTCCACTCAAGACCTAAAAGAAATCGGTGTTAGCTGATCACCACTTGTAATAAATCTTCCATTTCAGAGTTAGCACTAGGCTCCAAGAGAAAGCCTGGGGAGCAACCAGTAACACACTAGCATGGACGCTTTATAGCCAGATAGGAGCAGCCTCGCGGTCACAAGCCCTGGTCCTCATGGGGGACTTCAACCACCCTGACATCTGTTGGAGAGACAATACGGCAGGGCACAGGCAGTCCAGGAAGTTCCTGGAATGCGTGGATGACAATT